GTATCTGGCCTGGCTGTTAACTGATTTTAACTGGGCTGGTGCTTTAAATCCACCAGCTGCTTTGTAGCAGACAGATGAGTGATGGCTTCTTAAAGATTTACAGCCTCAGAAACCTGATGGAGAAGGGTCTCTGTGAGTAGGAGGCAGCTCAATACGGTGGGTTTGGTTGGGTGAGCTAAATTCCAGAGGTCCCTGGGTGGTCCATGCTTTTAGGCAGCAGGCCATCTGATGTGGTGCATCTCACCAAAATCCCTACACAACTGACTGCACATATTCTGAGATGTCATGAGTTGATATCAAATCGATGGTACAAGTACAGACCCAGTCCCTGTATGATGTTTCATCTCTTGACACACAGTTGTTAAATCACCTTTTAGATGTCACATTATCATCTCAATCTGGACATTTGCAAAGAAAATCACTCTGCTCAAAATGGACAATGCTTCCAACTTTACAAATCCTTGCACAATGGCTTATCATAGCATCAGTGACAAACTCTTTAAGTAACCTCCCCTCCCCATTTGGACTATGCAACACTGCATTAGGCAAATTCTGAGCATTATAAAAAGAAAGTTACTGATTTTCTTTCTGGGTTGAATGTCAATGACAGACTTTGACTGGGTAATAATTTTCTAATAGCCTTCCTCATTCTCCTTCTCCTGCCGCCTCACTACCACCAGAGTTACCGATTGTTGCTAAGATTGCCTTCATAGTAATATGCACATCTTGTTTACATATCAACACGGCTGAGGCTGTCTGAACAAGGAACCGAACTACAACTTCCCTCACCATCTGAGGGTGCTAATCATCATGACAGGTGGTCCAGTTTCTACTCCCTTGCCCCACTATCTTCCTCTCCTGGTTGCCAGGCTTCATAGACAAGGACGGACCAGGACTCGAAGCTGCTACTCTGAAGCTTATTGCACTGGATATAGCTGGTCTGATTCCTAATTGGGTCCAAAAAGCAGCAGCAGGGACAGGAAGGCAAAAGACCCTGATCAGTTGAAGGAAAATTCGGCACCTTCTCTGGTTGAGCATCTTGCTAATAGCAGGAAAAGGGACAAACCCAGCAGAAAACGTCTTGGTGGCCAACTCAATGGTTGACAGTTGGAAGGGGACTTTGGCTGCATAATAATGGACCTGAGAAAGCTCATAGAAATGTGTTTGAATGAGGCAATGAACCAGATTCATAACCAAGGTGGGATTGAGAGAATATCTGCATTAGACCGAAAACCTTTGATTTGGAAGGTCTATCTGGGAAGCCAGCAGATTTGTGGAAACATAGGCAGGTGTTTGGACAGAACTTTTTATCCCTCAAAAAAGGCAAGAACTTCAAGATGTCACATCATCCTGGAGACCGTAGCCATTATTTCCCTGGTCCTGTGTGGTGTCCCTCTGATGGTGAAAATGAACAGCACGGTCAAGGCGCAAGTGCTCCCAGAAGATGAAGGGTGGACAGGACTCAGCTGGATCGAGGTGGCAGCCAGCCTGTTCTCAGGGTGCACCATGGTGCTGGTGACTTCCTTCAATGACTGGAGAAAAGAGACGCAATTCTGGGGCTTGCAGAGCTGAATTGTGTAGGAGCAAAAAGTCTCTATTTTCTGAAATGGCCAGATCATCCAGCTTCCTGTGGCTGAGGTCATGGTGAGGGATAACACCCAAATCAGATATGGTGACTTGCTGCCTGCAGATGGGCTTCTGATCCAGGGGAATGATTTAAAGGCTGATGAAAGTGGCCTGAGCAGTCATACCATGTTAAGAAGTCCTTGGACAAAGAGCCCATGATGCTCTTAGACCCAGGCCATAAAAGGTTCTAGCCAAATGGTAGTGACTGTTGTTGGTGTCAACACTCAGACCAGCATCATCTTTACCCTCCTGGGGACCAGTAAGGGAGATGGTGAAGAGGAAAAGAAAGGTGAAAAATGAGTTCTTGAAAACGGCAAAAAAAGCAGACACAGAAGGCAGTGGCCCTGGACATTCCACTCAACAGTCAGGAAGGGGTTGACATGGAGGGGAAGGAGAAAAGCAGCAAAGAGGTCTAACAATGAGAAGCCAGCGCTGCAGGGCAAGCTGACGTGCTCGATTGTCCAGACTGGGAAAGTTGGTTTGGTCATATCTGTGTTCACAGTTCTCATCCTGATTCTGTTTTGTGATTGGCAACTCTGTGGCAAAGAAGAGGCTGTGGCAAGCTGAATGCATTCCCATCTACGTCTCGTACTCTGTCAAGGACTTCAACATTGGTGTCCCTGTGCCAAAGAGGCTGCTATGATATCATCCTTTCACTGGTCTACTCTGTAAGGAAAATCACGAAAGACGCTAACATTGTATGGCACTTGAATGCTCTGTGAAACCTTGGGCAATGCCACAGCCATTGGCTCTGACAAGACTGGCACACTGACCATGAACTGCAAGACTAAGCCTACATTGGTGCCTCCCGCAACCATCAAATCCCAAGTCCTTCCACCTAATGTCCTGGGCTTTATCGCCAATGACATCTCTATCAACAGTGCATATACCTCGAAGATTATGCCTCCAGGAAAGGAGGGGGGCTAGCCTCGGCAAGTGTGTAACAAGGCTGGATGCTCAATCACAGACTTGAAGCAGGATCACCATGCGGTCTGCAGCAAGGTGCCCAAGGAGAAGCTCTACAAGGTATACCCCTTCCACTCAGGGAACAAGTTGATGAGCATTGTCATTAAGACATCTGATGATAGCTTCCCCATGAATGGCAAAGGGCATCTCTGGGATCATCTTGAACAAGCGTAATTGAACCTTGAACAAGGGAGTGGAAGTGGTGCCTTTGAAGAGCAAGAACTGACATGACATTGAGTGCACTGTCATCGAGGCCATGGCCTGTGAGGGACTCCATACGATCTGCATAGTTTACCAGATTCCAAAGATGCAGAACTCGTGCGGGACAATTAGAATGAAATCCTCACTGAAGGGCATCTAGAGACGCAAAGCGCCAATGAAGTGACACTTTATCAGAATGGTGGCAGGTGACATCCACACAGCTCAGATCATCACCACCAAATGAGGCATTCTGACCCCTGGGCTTGACTTCCTGTGTTGAGAATGCAAAGAATCCAACTGACTCATGCATAACAAGAAAGCAGAGGTAGCATGATATAAGCTTGGCAAGATCTGGCCAATCTTCAGTGACCTGACATCCCACTGGCAAGCACACACTTTTGGAAGGCATCGTTGACAGTACTGTTGAGGATCGGCAGCAGTTGGTGGCTGTCCCTGGTGACGGTACAAGTGATGGGCCAGCTCTGAAGAGAGCAGACGCTGGTTTCCCCATGGGCATTGTGGGTACAGATGTAGCAAAAGTTGCCTCAGATCTCCTCACAGATGACAACTTTACCAGCTTTATGAAGGCAGTGATGTGGGGTTAAAACATCTATGATAGCATCTCCAAGTTCCTTCAGTGCCAGTTCCCTGTCAACGTAGCCATGATTGTGGCCTCCACGAGAGCTTGAATCACTTGGGAGTCTCCACTGACAGCTGTGCAGATATTAGGGCTTAATCTTACCATAGACATTTTGCCTGGCTGGTTCTGGCCATGGAGCCCCCAGTGAATTCTCTGCTGAAGCACCATCCCTCTGACCTTTGGTCTCATGAACTACAATGAAGAATAGCTTGGCCCACAGTCTCTTTCAGAGCTCACTGCCCTCTTTCCACCCCTTGTCTTGGCCAGTGAGAAATTCCTTGACACTGATGGTGGAAGAAATGCACCTCTACACACACCACCCCAGCCAAAGCCACACCACTGTTCTCAGCATCTTCATGACGTCACAGCTCTTCAGCAAAATCCACTCCTGAAAGATCCATGGTGAGAGGAATTTCTTTGCTGGCATCGTCATTGTCATCTTCTGCTGCATAGTCCTGGGAGCATTCGTTAGCTAGATTCTCACTGTGGAATTTGGGGGATTCACCTTTCAATGGCACAGGGCTCTTCCTACACCAGTGGTTTATGGTGTTTCTTCATTAGGACTGAAGAGCTGTTATGGGGCCAGCGAATCTCAGCAATATTCCCCAGTCCTTAAGTTCCTGAAGGAGGCTTGGCATGGCACTGCTAAAGAGACATTGCCATGGATGCTGAGGGGCTGGATGCGATGATTCATTGTGCTGAGCTGGAGCTGCACAAAAGCCAGACCTCTAGTTCTGGGGCCTGAACCATATTCAGACTCAGATCAAGGTGCTGACAGCATTTCCGTAGTTCCCTCTCCCTCTATGACAATATTATGGATATTCTCGAAACAAAGCACCATTCCCAACTTCATGGTACGCCCTGAATTCACCATCGGTGAGGAAGGGCCTTGAACACCAGTCCTAGATGAGCACAACAAGAAAATCCTGAAAAGGTTTTTAAGTCTGGGATGAAGGTGTTTCCTACTGAATTACAAAGGAAGAAAAAAAAAAAGGCAGTTACAAAAGGATTCCCACAAGAACCATAAAAGGGTTAGGAATATGGCTTAGCATCTCTGATAGGACAAAGAAACTTTCACAAGTTGAGAAAGCAAAGGGGAGCTCATACTGATTAGAAGGTATGATCAATGCGTGTGTGGTAAATGTACAATTCCGAGTGTAGGTCAACCACTCTTAACCACCAGAGGTTGATATGTCACCTCACATCTGAGAAAAAGGAAAGGGGTGAAAAAACAGGGATCGATCCCACCCTCCACTTCAAGTTCATTTTGCCTCCCTACATTCTAAGGGACTCTGATTGCAACGCTATGGACATGCCACGGATTGGGCTGAGATTCCTGACACCCAAGGAAGATGCAGAATGTACGAAAACCCCAAATGGATGATTGTCAGTGGTGGGAAATCCCTCCATGAAACAGACACTTGAGACAGATGGCAAAGACATTAAGGCCTTCCATTTCTTTGCCCACACTCCTTAAAGGCACTGATACCAACAACAGAAATTTTCCAGAGTACCGTCATTTTTTTTTTTTTTAAAAAAAAAAAAAAAACCGCTCCAAAATAACAAGTTTTCATAGGAAAATGTCCTCTATTGCATGACATGAAGCCTCTCTGATCTTCTCCTGCTCAGGAATAAAAGGGCCTCCCCTTCTCAGGAGTCTGCAGTCTGTTCAGCCTGGCAACCTGAGACGGGGAGGGGGGCACATCCTGCCGGAAGGGCCCCTTAGGAGGGGTGTAGTTGGGGTCCTGGGCTTTCTTATACGAGTCATAGTTGCTGGACCCCTCGGGTGGAGGCTTCTTCTTCATCTGTTGCTCCTTTCGCCTCTGCTCCTGGCGCAGGAGCTCCTGGGTCTCGAGCATCACTCTGGCGTTGAAGCCGTGCCCACCCATGTAGCCGTTCCTCGAGCCTTGGTAGCTGGAGTACCGGGGGTTCTCCTTGGCACTCTGGAAGCCTTCTCCAGGGGAGTAGTTCTGCTCCCAAGAATCCTGGGAGACAGAACTGGCATTTTTCCTGCTTTGCCTGCAAAGCAAAGACCAAAAGTTAATATGAGGATGGAGGAAAGGAAGAGGAAATGGCAGGGGGAGAATACACACTCTGGTGTTTCCAGAAATGATATCGTTCTAGCCACCGTGGTCAGGGTTGGGGGATTCACCAATGCAAAGACTGCACCATCCTCCACAAGCTTACAATCCCGGACAAGTAAGCAACAACAATCCCTAACCAGGAGAGAGAATTAATACTGCTGCTGCCATTCTGTGCTGCTGAATCAGAGCCAACTCCTATCTGACTCTCCAGCAAGTTTTCAGAGGCTGTAAATCACATAGGAGGTGACTGCCCACGTTCCTCCCGCAGAGCAGCTGGTGGGTTCGAACAGTGTGCCTTTGGTTTGGCGGTGCAGCTTCTTACCACTAGGCCACCAGTGCCTCCAGAGGAACACAGAAATGGGGGCATACTCTATGGTTGAGGGGTATGAGGAAGGCTCTTTAGGAAAAGAAGATGCCTGGACTAAAGCCTGGTGGATAAGGAGTCACGCAGCAAAATGTAGTGTGGAAAGAGATTACAGTAGTGGGCGACTGAGCAAAGCACCTGTTGCGTCAGCTAGGGGATGTGTGTGTCCATCTTTTTTGCTTGTCATCAATCTAAGTCAGGCTCAAGGTCACCCCATGCGTTCCTCCCTAGGGTTTTCAGAGGCTGCTATTTTTAGAAGATCTCCAGGCCTTTCTTCCAAGGCACATCTGGTGGACTTGAAACCCCTCCTTCCACCTCTTTTACTTAGCAGCTGAACACTAACTGAATTTGTGAAAAGGTGGAATGTGTGTCACTTAGGGAACAAGACAGACTGCCAAAAAAAAAAAAAAAAAAGAGGAACAATTCTATCCTGGAGGAAGTGCAACCAGTGTGCTCTTTTGAGGTAAGGATGATGAAACTTGATCTCACATGCTCTGGACACGTTGTCCAAAGGAGTCAGTCTTTAGAAAAGGACAGAATATTAGGGAAGGTGGAGGATCAGAGACAAAGAGGAAGAGGTTGAGGAACAAGATAAATTGGCAGAGTGACTCGAATGACTCAAGATGAATGGACTTGAGGGCATCAGAGATGCAGAGGATGGTGCAGGAGAGGGCAAGGTTCAGATCTGTGGTTCATAGAATCGTTGTGAGTCATAGTTGACTCAGCACTTAAGACCACCACCACCACCACCACCACCGAGACTCAGGACTAGAAAAGGGAAATGTCAAGAGAGCTCTGTTAGCCACACCAGAGTCAGGAGAGGCTTCTGACAGATTTTAAGTGGAGGAAACGTCAGACCAGGTTTTTATTTAGAAAGAGATTCTTTCAAAGGAATGAAAAACCACAAAAGCCTCTTTTCTAAACACCTACACATCCTCACAGCCCTTCCACTCACAAGGCAAGGATGTGGGCTCAGCAGCTAGGCAGAAAACAGGGTGTTCCTTCTGCGTGTGGGGAGGTCCATGTCTGCTTTGCTGCGGGTAACAATATCTCCTGCAATTTCGACACATTGGCAAGATGCTGTATAGGGGTATTAGAGATTTGGCAGCTCCAACTGCAGCAATAATTGCCTGCTTTAGAACATTACAATTCAATTCTAAACAAGCAAAACAAATATTTTACACAGCTGCCACTATAATGCCAGAGACGCGAGCTAATATGAAGTACATGTAATGGATTACAATGTGAGTTCAGTTATGAAAGATTTAAGTCTAGACTCCTTTATGATTAAAAATGCAATAGGCAGCCCCTTAAAGCGCCGCCCTTAGAGCTGCGTATGTCAGCAACTGGCACTGCAGCTACCTGCTGTGGAACTCGTCTGCGGTCTGAGCACTATTTCCGTGCACCCTTATACCTGCACTGGAGGCCGGGATCACCTATCTCACTCACTTGCCATCAGCCCAGGATAAAGGGATAAATCCGGATCCAAAAGGATTTTCTAAACTCTTAGCACTTCTACAGTAAAGATGCACATCATTTTCGGGAAACATTATTGTTTTGAAACATCTTTAATTTACTATCATCTCCCCAGATGCTTTTATGAATTTACAATAAGATTGGTGATGATAAAGTAAAACAATTGTGTGCCAGAAATGAAGACATGCCCTATTTAATTTTTTTCCCCTTCTTCTGCCCCAGAAAACAGAACAGGGGGAGAGAGAACTGAGTAATAAAACAAAATATATTGCTCCTTTTATCAATGAGAAAATCATTTGGAAACAGTGTGTGCTGCTCAGCCGTTCACATCAACACATGCAACATGGCTTCATGCTTACAAAGGCTCCAGGAGAGGAGAAATAAGGTCTACCAAGCTACCGGTCCTCCCACAGGAATGAAGCCATTTGCATTCTGGAACATTCAGAGGCGCCATCAATATGGTTTGCAATGAAATGTGCCCATTTTCCATATGGTCTCAGGTGCCATTAGGGCTGTTTGCAATAAGGAAGGAGAGCTTAATGTCCAGCATCCTCTCTGGCTACGATGAGGACTAATTGAGTAGTCTACACTCTATCTCTGATTCTTTTTTAATGACAGTCAGAAGCATTTGGACCATCAGCCCAGGCAAGAATCCTTAGATTTGATGGAATAGTTTATTTGCCTACAGCACTGATTATCTACACTTAAAAAGTCATAAATTAATCTGCCCAGAGACACGAGTGATGGAATGTGCAGGCATGAAACCAGGGATTTGACATTAATCATGAAACTTTAATTAAAACAACGAACTTGTTACTGATGTTGCGGCGACAACAGTGGGATTCCTTTATGCGTTAGTTATCAATTTAAAGATAACCAGAAATAGGCTGCAGAAATGTGCCCTCTTTTTCATCTTTGGCCTCCTGAGACCCACTAGCCCCTCACTCCCCAACTCCACGAAGCCCGAGGCTCTGCTCTATGGAGTCTGTGTTTTGCATGTTGAATTCTGAAGCATGCCAGGAAGACAAAGTCTTTCTATATTTAAACATGCTGAGAATTCACCAAAGGTTTGTTAGGAATGGAAATTATGAAGATGTGGGAGAATTTCTTTTAGCTATAACTTTTCTTCAAAGTAATCAGTATAGAGAGGGAAGCAGGGTGCCCTAAGGCTTTAGATAAGATGAATGGGAGATTGCACACATAAATATGCATGCACACATACGTATCCATAGGCACATACATATGTACCTATATGCAAATACATAAACAGGTACACACATGCATGCATTGATATATACATATATAACATAAATGCTGGTTTGGGAAGCAAGCTACTGGTGTTAATAAACACTTGATTAAGAAGAGAACAACATAAAAGTGGAGGAAGGAAGGAAAAAAGAGGGAAGAG